CATCTATTTCGAAATCAAACAGCTTCAGAACTTGGTCATGGGCTAGGCTCAGTCTCCAGCCGTCGGGATTTCGTGCGCCCGCGATACTCTCTCCCCTGACGGCTGGGCGCATGGGGTTCGCTATTGTCAGTCTTGACCAATCAGCGAGTGGCCCCCGATATTTTCAGGGGCATATCATTAATAAATTAGCAGGCAGCAGTGTAACAAAATGGCGTACAATTCTTCGTTTGAGATTCTCTTTGAAAGTGCTTGTTTGAAGGCTCTGAAGTCGTTTAGCTTGGACAAATTTAGAGAAATACAGCAAAAGGCTCTTAAAGAGATTGTTCTTGGAAAAGATGTCCTTGCTATTCTTCCTATACTGGCTCGGGCAAATCTCTTATTTTTCAAACAGCGCCACTAGTGTATTTTGCTCGATTTTCTGGCAGATAATACATCCATTTGGATTATTAAACCCTGCACATGTTTTACTTGGGGTAATTTCCATTCCTTTCTCTTTTTTAAAGCGCTGACTATTACATTATATCGCTACTTCGCGAAGTTTTCATTTCACATAATTTCCCGCCTTGTAGCAAAACCTTTACGGCTGTTGTCAGATATTTCACTTCCGTTCACTGAAAAATTCACTTCCGTTACGTCATAATATGCTAATTACACAAAAACGTCACGGACATGCGCGACACATTTCGAACCCCATGCGCCCAGCCGTCAGGGGAGAGAGTATCGCGGGCGCACGAAATCCCGACGGCTGGAGACTGAGCCTAGTCATGGGCTTGATCACATTGCAAATGGTAAATATTTACCAGTGTTTTTCATTTTTATTTCTAGAAGAGAATGACGAGCAATGTGAAATGGTAATTATTAGTAGTACTTGTTTTCAACCTATGTATCAAATATATGCATATGCTCAGTATATTTATAATTTTATTAACTGTGCGCGCGAAGGCTGTAATTCTGGTAATTTCTTATGTGGTCTTTTGTCCCAAATTTCAAACTTATTTCCATTGTCTTTTATATTCACGGATCTCTTGCATTTGCACTGGCTGCTACTATTAAATAAAAGAATGTATTTACATGGTGAGACAAACACAGCGTAACAATAGCTTGGTATGCTAGTCCTTGGGGATCAGAAACAATTTAAAATCGTGACCTTGCTCTCACTTCTGTTACTGAACTCCAAAGACTTCACTAGAATGGATAAGAAAGGTATGTTGATGCAATATCAGGCATTTTACAGTAAACTTTATACTTATTTCAAATCAAGAGCGGCTGAATTCGATGGAGAAACGATCACCGTCATTGTCATTACTGAAAAAGGCCTTATTAGAATTTTGAAAGTAATCTGTTTGAATTTGTGAACGTAGAGCTCCATAAACTTGTAAAACGGCAAAATTTTGTAGAGAAAATGTACTGCAAAATCTAGAAGCGATTGCAGTTTTGATATCAATATTCGAATGTTAAATTGAAAAACAACTATAGCTTGAAAGCTTAATTTTTCATACAACTGTTGCCCAAAGCACGTGTCCATGAGTTTACTACGAAAAGAGTATATTTTTCCAAATTTAAACAACTTCATTTTGGAGCGTAAAAGAATCATTCCTCCTAAAATATTTCGCATAATCGCTCAAATAATCAAATTTCTATCCCCAAGAAACACTGACAGTTACATTTAAGCTTCAGAACTGCTATATTACGACAAAATAAAAGTTTTAAAAGTTTTCGACCTCCATTATCCAGCAACTCGTGTGCGTATCAGCTTTATGCTAATAACAACTGCATGACAAAATTTAAATCATTTTCGGTGGGGTGATGGTGAGTCCCAATTTACACAGAAAGTCTAACGTGGAGTTTAAACATGGCCTCATCGTTTTGAGCAACATTTTCAAATGCTCAAACACTCGAAAATTTAGGTTAAGATTTTATTCAAACTTCGTCAGTATGTTAATTATATTAGTACACCTAACTCTCTTTGAACGACCACTCTAGTAAGCGACCATCTTCCGTAATCGACCACCTTTTAAATATTCCGTTTTGTTCAGTTTCCCATATAAACTCTGTAAAAAACCTTTCTCGTAAACGACCATCTCTCGTAAGCGACCACTTTTTCCTAATCCCGAGCTGGTCGCTTACGAGAGAGTTGACTGTATTAAGAAATGATTCTGAAAATTTTGTTACAATCTCTGCAATGTATTTCCAGTGAATTAACTTTGAAGAAAAATGAAGGTGTTTTATTTTGCATCATTTATCTAAATGGCTTCATTTTTTGGCAAATCAATTTATCAACAAGAATTATTGATCACCACTGCTACTTCTGCAAAAATTTTAGTTCAATCGAATCAAAATTGGCGACGTAGTTGGAGTTTAAAAAAATATGCGCGACACGTGATATTTTACTCGCTTTCAGTCAGGTTTCTTGTATTTCTGTATTAGTCAAAGTAGGAATTTGACACTGTATTATTTACACACTGTGTTCTGAACGTCCAAGTCGCCCCATAGAATATTATCCKGTCCGGCTTTGGGGACAGGCGTTAGAAATAACAAGAAATATAAAAGAATCAATATCTACAAAAGTTCTTCATTTTTACTCCTAGATACTACAGTTGTTAAGGTGAAGGTAAGCATAATCACAATTGTTAAGTTATAGAGGATATTGGGCGCAGGAGTCTAGTTCTCTAAGTCAAGAGAATCAACTATGCTCTGACAATGAAAAACGGTGTGCCTTGTTTTACAGTCTTTAATGATATAGCCTGCAAGGTGTCATAGCTAAAAGTCAATCATGTAATTAAGATTGACCGCATTTGAATGGTTGGGCTCAGCTAATGCGCTTACATTTTTATTCCTGTTCGTATTATGTTTATTTATCTATTTATTTTATTTTATTTTTCTAGATTGAAATGGATATGTCTCAAAATGATTTATCAAACACGTCGTAAGTATCGAAATGAAAATCAATAAGAGTAAATGATGAGCAACTGGAATATAACTCCGGGGCATATATACCTATTTCAAAAGAAGCTTGTTGGATGAAATGGCGAATGGAAACTGGCAAACGGCGATTGCATCACCGAAAGGAGTCATGGGTTTTTGCTATTTGATGGGATGATAATAACTGATTTATACTGCAAGATAATCCTGGGGTAAACATCGACTCCATTTAGTCTCCATTTTCAATAAGCAAATGAAATTGTGTATAGGTTAAACAGCTCAACCACATAGTCCCATGGTCATGCAATCGACGTTCGACAATTGTCGACTTCCGTTATACCCGACAACGTTTTTTGAAATAAGTGTATACCAGAGCAATTACTAACGTTGCAGCAATGATAAAGTTCCGCATTTCCCGGTTCTTAAAGGCGGAAATAAGGGCGGCTTACTTTTCAAGTTGGGAGCAAAAACAATTTTTATCATTCGTCCTAACCAAGATCTTATTATATTTCTGCATATATTCAGTACTACGTTAGCGGCAGGATCCGGCGATTACTTGCAAGGTATTCAATAAAGAGCGGTTCAATTCATGGCCTAAACTCCGGGCCAGAAAGTTGTCTTTTAAGTTGTCTTTTTCTTTAAAGTTGTCTTAAGAGGCCTTAAAGCTGCCACAGTGCCCCGCACGATTTTCGCTCATTTAGTTTAGTTTCTTAAGTTGCCTTTAGTTGCTTTCTGGCCTAATTCAATGGCGAAAGTCAAGATCATTGAAAAGCTCCAACCTCACTCCAAGGCCCTGATTCATTCCACATTTAGGGACAGGCGGGACAAATAACAACAAAAATTTAACACAGAAAACTCAATATTTATAAAAGTTCTTTATTTTTACTCCCATAGAATATGCTACAGTTGTAAAAGTCAAGATAAGCATGATCACAATTGCTCCCAAGCCATACCAATGTTTATAAACATAAGGCAATACGTTTTTCGTTGTTTCAATGTGAAACGTCGCAACTGATTAAGTTGAAAATTTGAGAATAGAAAGTCTTCATGATTCAAAACCTGTTCCACAAGAGTGTTCACTGGAAATTCAATAGCCGCATCCCATCTTATTTACTAATCGAGCCTGCTTAGTGTTGCATGAGTTTTAACTTTAGCATTAGTGTTTAGCGTGAAGATGATCGTCGAAAATTGTTAAAAATGTCTCGAAAAACCGCTTGGTAACACAGACAACATAATATTTTCGACACTAAAAGATAAAACTAAAAATTGACAAATTCATATTTTTTAAGCACTTTTGATAGTTCTAGAGAGCTCAACATCGAATACTTTCTACCCATCTTTACAGATTATGCTGATTATATCAGTCTTCAAATTAGCAGTTCCCAGATTTTTACCCCTAAAAGATATGATGACGATCATCCCTATCCTTAAAATATATGGGAGTCCGCCAGACCCGTGAGGTTTCGAAATAATGTCATTTGAATTGAGTTCCACTATTGCTCTCATCATTACAATCGTTCTTTTTTTTTATAATCTTTATATTCAAGCCTGCCTCCACTGAAACAAACATGCACGTTGTCCTTCCGCTACCTCTAAATTAAAATAGGTTGAGTCATATATGTAGTTTTTTCAGTTCTCATTCACAAGTTAAAACGTGGTGGCAACTAAGGTGCACTAAGGAATAATCACTGGAGAATTGCTTTGGATGCTATTGTGAAGATGAGATTAGAAAAATGTGAAGGGTTGTGACATTACAACACTGCCTAGGAATGTGTTTCTGAAATGTTCATGCTTCAATTCTATTGTCTATACTGATATATATACATTTAATTTCATGGAATTTTGTATCAAGCTGAGCGGTGACGTCCATCCGTTACCCGGGCCAGAAATTYCGTCGAAWGGCAACGGGATCCCTGTCTGCATTGGAAATCGGCCTATCAAAAGTTTTAAGGCCGCTGGCCACGTGGCATCCAACTGTGTTAAATTGTCAAAACACGCAGCTCATGGTACGAGGCCCAACTTCCAAAAGAAATGCTTGCAAAAAGCCCATATTAATCCGGAATTACTTAAGTCCAGGCAGCATTTTATCGAAACCAGAGACATGGCTTTAAAAAGTGACTTCGATATTTTGTGTATCTCTGAAACTTGGTTTAAACCTGCCCCGAGGGACACTAATGCAAGTGTAGAGATTGAGGGGTATAGGGTCTATCGCCTGGATCGTCCTAAAAAAGAGGGAGGTGGTGTCTGTGCTTATATTAAATCACACCTAAAGGCCAGGATTCTGAAAGACCTAACGGGAATTACTGAATCTGGATTGCATCAACTTTATATTCAAGTGCAAAGCAAAAATATTCGCTCTATAGTGCTTGGTGTAATATATAGACCGCCTGAGATTGGTGTTACGTGCCTTACGGAGGAGCTTATGCCAACCTACATCAAGGCCCTGGCTCTAAACAAAGACATAATCATGTGTGGTGACCTCAATTGTGACCTCCTTTCAACAAATCCTAAGGGTGAAGCCCTTCGCTCATTTATTACATCTGTGAACGCCTCTCAACTAATCGACAAACCTACGCGGGTTACACAGACCTCCCGCTCTTTGATCGACGTCATTATTGTATCCAACCCTAATATAGTTAAAACAAGTGGTGTTCTTGACAAGACTATCAGTGACCACAACTTGATACTGGTTACCTTAAACCTAAAGGTTCCAAAGTTACCACCTAGCGCTATCATGACAAGAAGTTTTAAGAAATACGACCCTCATAAGTTTGCAGAAGATGTTGCACGTGTCCCATGGGACTGTGTTGAGCTTGCAGATTCACTCAACGACAGAGTGGATGCTTTTAATGATTTGTTTATTACTTGTCTAGACAGCTATGCTCCAGTGAAAACAGTAAAGTTGAAACACAGACCTTGTCCCTTCATCACCGAAGACATTAGAGAACGTATGGCATCACGGGATCGCTTACAAAGACAGGCCCAGAGGACTGGTAACGAGCATGATTGGCTAGCATTTAAAACGTTGCGTAAGGATGTCAAACAGGCCTTAAGGAAAGCAGAACAAGACTTTTTTTAACAAAGAAATAGCTGAGAACAAAGGAAACAGTGGCGCAATTTGGAAAACCATCCGTCGAGCACTACCAGAGAAGTCGAATCAGCGCACGTCCTACTCAAGAGACACACAAACACTTGCAAATGATTTCAACAAATATTTCATCTCCGTTGGTGCGAATGCAGCGAGCGACGCTACGAAGTTGGCTAGATCTCACGGTCTTTCTGACAGCTACACACAACAACAAAATGTCACTACTCCTGTCAGTGATGATAATTTGTTTGAATTCCGGCGAGTGTCCAACTCAGATGTACGCGACGTAATAATGTCTATGGCTCCTAATAAGGCACCTGGCCACGATAGGGTTCCCCTGCGCGTGATCAAGGACTGTCTCTCATCCATCTTACCAACCTTAACGAGCCTCATTAACACCTCATTTACTACATCTGTCTTTCCACGAGCCTGGAAGAAAGCGGAAGTTGTCCCACATCCTAAAGAAGGTGACCCAGAGGTTCCTGTCAATAACCGCCCTATTTCTCTTCTCCCAGCTCTCTCCAAAGTAGCAGAGAAGATTGCATTAAATGATTATAATAGCTATCTRACTAAAAWGAACAAAKTAACACATCATCAGAGCGGTAACCGGAAATACCATTCAACCGAAACCTTAGGATTACTAGTTACAGGGGATATTTACAGAGCAATGGACGAGAAGAAGTTAACTGCCATGATTCTTATAGACTTAAGCAAAGCATTTGACAGTATATGCCYTAATACCCTTCTATTCAAGTTAAAAAATTTAGGGACATCACCAACGGCCATCAAGTGGTTTGCAAGTTATCTCACAGATCGGCAACAGTCTACTAGGGTTGGTACGTCTTTATCTGACCAATTGACAGTTACTCACGGGGTTCCTCAGGGGTCCATACTGGGACCTATGCTGTTTGGACTGTACATGAATGATCTGCCCTCTGTGGTCAAGTACAGTCATGTTGAGTCATACGTTGATGATACGAAGATCTATCTGTCATTTGCCGCAAAAGACGTTGACTCATGTTTGTCTCAAGTAGAAGAGGATCTGCGACGCATTGCAGAGTGGTGCTGTGCTAATAGTCTCCTTATTAACCCTGACAAAACAAAATTCATTGTCTTTGGNCAATCAGCATATTAATACACTTATGTCATCTCTTCTTGGCAGCCTCTGCAGGATAAATAGAGTTCGCCATCTGTTCACTAAAGATACCCTCCTCACGATTCTGAATTCCCTAGTTTTTAGTAAACTCTTTTACTGCTCTACTGTATGGTCTGGTACTTCAAAACAAAACATCAATAAACTACAACTTTTACAGAATTTTGCAGCTAGAATCTTGACAAACACTAGAAAATATGATCATATTTCGCCAGTTCTAAAAGAGCTAGGTTGGATATCCATCAATAACCAGTTGAATTTAAGGGATGCTTGTCAAGTTTTCAAAATAGTGAATGGACTCGCCCCACAATATCTATGTGGAAAGATAAGCAAAAGATCTGAATCACATACCTATAACATGAGATATAAAGATCGACAATCTTAATATTCCTATGTGCAGAACTTCTACCGCGCAGCGTTCCTTTTTCTTCAGGGCGCTTAAGTTGTGGAATGACTTAAAGATATCGAAAGAACATAGTTTACTTAAGTCCTTCAAGAGATCTTTAAGATACATGATGTCATGATCCTACCCCATTAGTATTTATATCTTTAATAATAATTGTAATTTTTAAAATTATTGTAAATTATTATAAATAGGAAATTTTACTCTTAATCATCATTGTAATTTTATCAGTTTGTACTTATGTAAATTTGGAAACTATTGTAAATTAGGCATGAAAAGCCATTTTTGGATTGCTTAATAAAATTATTGTAATGGAATACAATACATTTTATGAATACATTACATCAACTGCGTGCTACCATAGGTCTTCCCGGTCTATGATGCGACATTAAAACTGAGACCTTTGCATGTGTTTTGTTGCTGATGGTATTTAACATTGTTGGGTCTGGTTTTGAAGGGATTTAGAGCTATTTTTAAAAAAATATCGCCATATTTCAACAGACTTCAAATCCAACCGTGCCAAATCGTCATGTTCTTACGCTATTCTTACTCAATTTTTGAATCCGTTCAAGCATTCATCGACCTTGATGGACACCGTTTTAAAACTCCCTCTGATTGGACGACAGTTACCATGGAATCAGTTCAAGTACTCCCGACTGCTACGGGGAGTGTAGGAATTTGATAACGTTTGAAAGACTTTGCATTTGCATCGCTCCTGAAAATAAACCTGGCAGCGTAACTGGATTCGGTTGAAAACTTCGAAAAAGCGCGCGGACTTGACGGGCCCTTTGGGGATGTAGACAGTTGTATAAATTCCTACACTCCCTATAGTAGTCGGGAGTACTTGAACCGATTCCATGGTAACTGTCGTCCAATCAGAGGGAACAGTGTCCATCAAGGTCGATAAATGCTTGAACGGATTCAAAAATTGAGTCAGAATATCGTACAAAAATGACAATTTGGCACGGTTGGATTTGAAGTCCGTTGAAATATTGCCCAATTCT